GACAGCGGGGGCAGTCGTGGGCACTGCAACAGCCGGCACCGAGGTCGCGGAGAAGGCACGACAACGGGCGCTCGTCCGACGTCGCATCTCCTCCAGCTGCTCACCGCGTTTGACAGACACGGCGGCAGCTTGCTGCAAACCTTGGTCGTGGGCCTCATTCTGCTTCTTCTGTGCGTGCAGCTGCTCGACGAGGACTTCTTGTCGGTAGCGCTGCTTCTCTAGCTCAGCCATCAGCCGATTGTTCATTTCCATTTGCTGCTGCGAATGCAGCTGTTGTTGATGGTGCAGGTGCACCATCTGCTCGTAGGTATGTCGCGTCTGGACGCCGACAGCATTCTGCACGTCGTCCAGCCGCCCAGATTGTTCGTGGACAGCCCAGGTGCTGACCCAACCGCTGTACGGCAGTGATTTCCGGGGGATAGGCCGCCTACGGCAACGACATCGTGCGTGCGTATTGCATCTCTTGAGAGACGGTGCGTCGGAGCACCAGACCAGCCGTTCCGGGTGGAGACGACATTCTCTCGGGGGTATGTTAGTCACAGAGCAAGAACAGGCGCTGCGTACAGGTAAAATGTAGATCGCGGGCAAATGGAGACTTTGACTAAATAATTCTTTGTTGTATCTCAACTACTTCAAAGCCGATCGAAACCAAAACGTTGGAATATTCAAAGGTAAAAGGCGTGGTGAGTGACTGCCAGCCACTCAAACTACCTAAACTCTCAGACCCGACAAAGGGGTCGATACACTCTACCAATCCATATGGTACACCATATGGATACCACCAAAAGTACCGACCAATAGACGCAAGGAGCAGGCGCCACAGGTCTACTCCTTTCCGTCTCAGTAATTCGAGCCGAATACATCACTGGCGGTCAAGATGATGTTGGGGGCGATCAAACTCGACCCGCACGAAATATCCCCCGTCCAGGTGTCAAGAATTCCGGACAAGTACAATTGCTGGCTAACTGCAGCTTCGACGCCGCCGGCAAATTCTTCTTGGGTGACGACGGCCGTGGAGGCAACGAAGAAACGAAGAGACCAGACAAGGCAAACAGAACGTTCATGGCAAGTGGAAAATTCAAAAATGAAATCGGAACCAAAGGTATGAGCAACCCAAGCGAGCTCATTAAATCGTCGGACAAGATTGATCAGTGGTAATCTGAGTTAACTACATACAGTACAAGCCCTGTCGCACACGCACCGAGATACGCGTAAATTGTTGACCAATCTGAGCTGACTTGATGCCGTTGCCCTTGTTGGGGTTGGTTCAATGGCTTTGCATATATTGGACGTCTGCTTCATGTAACGTTTGTGAGCTGCATGCATACCCTGGTACCATACCATAACGACTCGGACAAATATTTTCTTGATATGTGCTTCGGACACTCACTTAAATGGATTTACACATTAGATGCGAATAGTTGTACCACAGGCCTTGCCCGGGTAGCGGCACGGCCTGCGGCCTACCTGCCGCTTTTCCGACAAGAGGAATCGATTGGAGATTCGGTGAGTGCACGATTGGGGCTCACTCCTCGCCAAGGCACCGCCTGCACAAAATTATACACACGACCTCCGCTACGCTGCGGTGCGCGCTATTTCGTGGGCGGATGCTCTGGCGTCGCTCGCTACTGTAAAGCTCTGATCGTTCTTATGCGGATGTATACAATACACAAGTATGTCCGAACATATTCCGTTCGTACAATTTCATTCGGACAAAATATGTTCCCCTTAAGTTCAATACAAATGCCAAGTATGTCCGACTGAAATTGTCTGAACGGTGTCTACAAAGTGATCATATTCACCCATATACGAGGGTACGTATTTTGAGGCAATTGAGGCGAGGGATGAATATCTCCGTTACTCCGACCAACCTTAATTCTAGTATGATTGGTTTCATCCAATAAGAGTTCCGATACTTTTGCTATTAATAGCCAGTGATTGCAAAGGATGTTGTTGTTTTTAGCCATTAATACTGTCTACTGTAAAGGTAGTTGTGGATTCGGTAGATTTCGAAGAAAATGTCAGATGGTAGAAGAAAATATGGATATTCAAATAATGAAACCAAGTATAACCGATACAATTTGCATTTTACATGAGGTTAGATGATCTATCGCCAGGAAACTCTAAGAGAGCCAGACCTACTGCTGTGAAGGCATTCGAAAGATTACTTTTGTCTGAAAGCGCAGAACTATCCTACATGAAATCGTGCATCGGCAATGGACAAATGTAGCTAGGCATTCATGTATGCAATACTATAGACAAGCTAAGCACTGGCTCCTCGACCAATTCCTACTACACAAGGTTTTGATCGAAACGGGCCTTCTCAAGCTGGGGCGGATGTTGGAGAACTATTGCGTACAGCGAGATGGTGGCGGCATTGAATCAAGCCGTTACATGCACCAAGCTCCATTTAAATCAGATGATGACGCACTTGTACTCGACAGCCCGTTCCAGCAGTGACTATCAATACACCGCGTGAACAACCTGCTGTGGCACTTATTTGGGCGTGCATCTGATCTCTGCGTCGTGCAGAAGAAAATATCACCATTCGTGGTGGTGGTGTTTCTTTATGTTAGCCATAGGCAGACAAGGATTGAAGTTACATAGTTAAAGCTATATATATGCAATTGAAGCTGGAAGAGCTCCAGGCTTCACATCCCTCGACTACTACAGTGTGTCGAGGGCCAATAGCTACCTTATTTTGATCCTACACACACTACTTGAAGGTCGCATATATTGAGAGATTTGACAAACTTCAATCAGTGCAGCTAAGGTTGCACTACTTACATGGATGCATGTCTTTGGCGATGATAATTATGGAGGTTCTAGTGCTAAGCTCACTTCTGAATCCACCTTCCTTTGAGCCACTACCCCTACATCTGTGTGTGTTGTGTGCCAACGTCTGTTACTTTATGAAGTTTATCCTATGAAGCGAAGTTAAGAGCAGGGGCTGCCGCTCTTTCCAGACACACAACGTTGAGCTCTGAACGCGAACTTGATGACGCTAAGGCCACGTCAAATCTCTAGGATTCACCGCCACCTAAACCGATTATTGTATCGCATCATGACGTTAGTGTTTGCGCATCGCTGACCTACCGTGATGACGTCATTGCCGTCGTAACGTCAGCCGAAATCAACTTATTGTGTTACCTCAGCGCAGCGTGGAATCAAAAGGCTCGAGCCCTGTCCTCAAGCACTTACGCATCTTGCATCGAACGGATGACCTCAATGACAAAATCGTCCGATACCGCCAGTTGCTCGCCGCGGGACTCATTACTGACGCCGCCCCGAAGTACACACAAGACATCATATGGTTGACGGTTAAATACATCATACACGATACATACAGAGCAAATAGTACCAACAAGTAGCGACGCACGAGGCTATGGCCTCAGGCGATGCGATCATTGTCATGTCGAGGGCCATCGTCGTATGTGTGGCGTAAAATATCGGGTGGGGGCATCCAAGGACATCGTCAACATTGGGCGCGGGTGTTCAAATCTGAGGACAAACTGGCCACGACCCAAACCGATATGACCTCCGACGCGACAGGCATTGCTCGTAATGGTGTAGTTGTTCTCGTTCACTAAAGTAGAACGGTGAGTACCAGTCATGTTAACGAAGTATAATGTACCAACGTGAATGAAGTCGGCTGCAGACGACCAAATCCCACCGCCAACTACCCGCGGCGCAAACCGACATTGCATCCAGTGCGACAAGCATTGCTTGTAGTGGGGTTATGGTTGTCGTTCACTAACGTGTAACAAAAGCGACGGCAACGTTACGTCAGCCGCCAACGTAGCATATACGTCTACTATGTATTCTTACGATGAAAATACGGATCGTAGTAGCCGAGTCGGAACAATCGAATGAAGAGTATGAAGGCACAGCCGCTGACATGCAAGACGAGTCAATCCCGAAGGAAGAGCAGCTTGACCGCACAAACTCAGCGTTATTGACTTGGACAAAAATGAGCAAAGAGTTAAGCGCCCGGCTACAAGCGTAGGAGGCGTTCAGTCTAATGTCGAGAACAAACCCCGATCGATCGACAAGTTTGTCGATGGAGTAATGGATTCCGACAACAAAGCCTCGGCGGTCATGGTGTCTGCGATGGTAATGATGGAGAAGAGTACGGATTCAGACAACCTCGGCGGACATGGTGTCTACGATGGTAATGATGGAGAAGATGTCTGCTGATCGCAAAGAATGAATTTGGAGCGTGAACAACAGTGGTAGTCAGAACATCAGATGCGCCAAGAGATATTGGACGAAGAAAGAGGGAGCATCGCCGTGAAGAACGGCAGATGATGTTGTTTATGAAACTTTTTGGCGATAAGACAAATAACTAGTGTTGGAAATTACATCCTTTGTGCATGAGAATTATGATTTTCTAAACTAATTAGATCGAAATTGGTCGTTTTGTTGCTTGGTGGGATTGTACGGTAGTGGTGGAAGTAGTTGACGGTACACCTTCGGGATCGCACCCATTCCTCACTCAGAGGTCTGGTGTAGTAAAGCGATACAATCACTCATAGGCTGAAAGGCCAAAGGGTGTTTGCGGACGTTTTGGCAGTCCCCCATTTGTGTACGCCAACAATAACCTTCCAACTGGATACGATGTGCTAAGATCAAGGAAACCTTCGTGGCCAAAATCTAATGGCCCTATATTGGCCCTACTCAAAACTCAATTTGTTTTAAAGTCTATTACTCGACCAATTCTTCGCCAATATATTTTGAGACCTAACATCTCTTCACCACAACGAGATCTGTCGAAAGCTACGTCTCGTCTTACTTCAATTTTAAGAAATGAATACCACTCTGGTCCATAATGTTTGTCACATTGTTTTTGGCGTGGTGCCATTCGTCTAAATTTACGACTTGAATTGAACTGATTGGTGCATTGGAAAGGTAATGATCTCCACTTTGATTGGCTAGTTCGAGCTCCTCCGAAAGCACTTTTTTGCAGGAGATACAAGCTTCAAAGAACGTGAGGTCGATTTTGTAAAAAGAAAATCATCCGCTCAGCGTTAAATGCCATTGCTATCTCGTGCACTCGATGCCCAGTAGACGTGCTAACCTTATGCGAAGCAAGTACCACGCCAAAAACAATGTGACAAACATTACGGACCAGAGTGGTATTTATTTCTTAAAATTGAAGTAAGACGAGACCAGTGGCTAAATCATTATATCTGCAATCATCTCTTTAGATAAGCAATAATTTAAGCTTATTTTCTTCCTTTCAAACAGTTCACGAGTGAAGAGTGTTCGAATATCAATATGCTTTGTACCCTTGTGGTTTCCTGCGTTTTTGACACAATCAATTGCAGCACGGCTGTCACACCATACTGTAATTGGGCGGTTTAACTTTAAACCCATTTCACTCAAAAGTGCGTGAATACATTCACATTCTTTGCAGCCTTCACTAAGAGCCACTAACTCTGCTTCTGCTGTGGATAGCGCTACTTGGTGCTGTTTAGAGCTTGCCCAGCTGACACAAATCCCTGCGATTCGAATTAAATATCCGGAGACGGATTTACGATCTTTTGACTGACGCGAAAAAGAAGCGTCCGTGAAGTCATCATAGTCTATCTGTTCTATGTTACCATTGAGATAGAGTCCATAAGTGGACGTTCCTTTCAAGTATCTTAGGATTCACAAGGCCGCTAGCCAATGCCTTTGATTGTAGCATGTTAGAAATCTACTTAGATCGCGTACTGCATTTGCAATGTCAGGTCTCGTGCCTCTGACGAGATACTGCAATGATCCTATAAGTCCCCTGTAATCGTAGGGTTGTGCATCAATCTGCTCCCTTGACATGTTGCTTTCAGCAATCAACTCTTGTCCTACTATTGGAGGTGTCGATACTGTTGAAGCTTTGGTCATACCGAACTTTTCCATCAAAATCATTGATCGACGGCCCTATGGCCAACCACCGATTGATGGCATGAAGCGGACGCCAATCTATGTAGTGTATATTACTGCGAGTAGCTATACGTATACATGGGACAAAACCTCGAACGATTGCTACAGGCCTCGTGGCCTGGGGCAGTCGTGTGAACATTACTGCATGCTACCAGACCCCCACAGCAACTGTGCCAGACCCAGCCTACCCCACAAGTCGCCAAAGTTCCGCGTATATTGTGCTTCATCTGCTTCTGTAAGACATCTTCTAATGTCGTGATTTACTGCCTAGATATAGAAAGAACCTTGCTTGCGGTACTAACGGATGGCTGAATGCGCAAGGGGAATGATCACTTTCATACCCGTGGAACCACTAAGCAGTGTGTGTGAGGTGGCAAATTGAATAATGACAACATTGAAATGTGTAGTTGGCCATAAAATATACTTCAAGTAATATTTATTCAATCAAAACGCAGTATTTCTGGAAGATGATAGGGTTGAACAGGAGCATATTGCCTCATATTGCCTGAATGATGTACTTCGAAGTACTAAAGTAACTAGCCTTGCTTTGCAATTACCTTATTCACAACTAATAGAATGATAACGAGAGGAGCTCATACAGTATAGTAGAGGATTTGCCCGTCGTTGTTGTTTCGTGTCAACGACGGGCAAATCCATTTGTGCTAGTAAGGCAAGACTAGCATTCGAGAGTCCTGAATTATGCCAGCAGTTGAGCTAGTACATAACGCATACGAGTACCAAGGAATATCAAAGGGCTACATCAAATTGCGTGCAATGTGACTTTGCGTGGAAGCTATGAAGTAGAACGTATAGCTGTGTGTAAACGCTAGCAATTTCGGTAAGAGCCGTGGTGAATCTACACAAGAAAGCAGAGGTTTCAGACTAAGAAAAAAAATACTAGGCGCGACTAGCTTATAGTGCATGCAAATCGCTACAGCTGTGTCGATTGCAACCCTTACATCGTTTATAACCCACGCCTTATGTCCCCTGCACACCGATTCTGCTTGTGTCTTATCGGCATGTGAAAGCACATAGGCACAATTTGAGAGGTTAAAACCACCATTCACGACATCATGACTAGCTAATAGTGTATGATAGATCGCCAGAATAGTAGCGACTGCAACCCCTGCACCTCCTCAGCCCTTATCTCTCCCCCCACAATATTCGACTTGTAGCATCCCCCAAGCCAAATTTATTATCACTCTCTCTATTGTTCTCAACGCTCACTCGAATTTACAATTAGTGCTGTCAAGGCTTTTTGGCCAAAATATGCTGTCCTCGTTTCGATAAATTTAGGATAGTTCGATCGTTACATTGAAGATTAGTATACACGTGGAGTAGCAAATTGTAAAAGAGTACCTAACAGATACTAAGTAAGTTACGTTAAGTTTCATGTGCGTTTCAGTCGTACGAAACCGTACTAGTACAACCAACGTCCCAAATGAACTTCATACTATTGAAATATTGTATACTTTCGCTGTAGCAAAATATAATATACTTACCTGGCCGTATCACAAACTGCGAGCAACTAAGTAGTACAAAGCAACCAAGAGTAATTGATTCTCCATAATTATTCAGCTACTCGCGGGGTACACATATACTGTAGCTTGCTTACTTCCGGCAGTCATATCCCCCGCAAGCATACTACACTACAGAACTGCCTCTGGCCAGCGTAACGAGCCATTCTGCTGCCACAGATTCACTCTACAGCCTGAGTTATCGGCATAATTCTTGTGGCCATTGGAGCCATCCATTTTGAGCACTTCGGGCAGACATAGCCTTCACATATACATTAAATTACAGAACTACCTCTGGCCAGTCGAACGAGCCACTCTACAGCCTGAGTTATGGTCATGGACGTTCATTCCTATCGTATGCACTTTTACACTACTGTATCCCTTGCCGCCAACCGAATATTTATTACTAGTACCCCGGACTACATTCAGCTGTAATTTTACGTAGCAACGATTCAGATGTAATGTACTTTCCTTTTGAAGTACCTTGATGCGCAACCATCTCACTCGAGACTCAACACATGAGTTGGCAGGCGGAGTTCTGAAGATTTCAGCAAAACGTATGTGGCAGGAATGTGAACTCGTTATGGAGTACATCTACAGCACAAACTCGGTGTGCCCTCCTTTCCTCGCCAACTCATGGCCCATTTTCTTGGAGCCAGCCAGATTGACACCCACACAGCCTTTGGATGGCTCGACGGTGGCATCCGTGAATTCGGCCTCCGTCAGAGCTCCATACTGGCGGTCATGCACATTGGCTACTGCATGGATATCCTCATACGACAACAACAAGGTGACACTGACCCCGTCCATATCACTCACAGCCAACCAACACCCACAAGGCACCCAAACACGCACCATCTCCAGCCTCGTCTTCGTCGACGACGCACTCGCCATCTCCACCTCATACCCGGGCATCCAAGACGGTGCTAATATTTCAAATCAATTCACAGGCCAATCTGCATTGGGAGGTGTTTTCGGAGCCGACAAATCCTTCCTCTTCGACCTCTCACCCCACGCTTACCTTGCAGCATCCTCCGTTTACCACACGGCCATCCAAAGTCATGGTTCTACGACCATACAGATATGGCTTGGGTCTCGTCTATTGTGAACGCTTTAGCCACAGCCAACGGCTCTACCAATTCCTCCGGATTGCCAACGACTGTGGCTCGCCCGCCCACGACCACCTCACGAAATCCCTTGAGGCCTACCAAAATCGAGTGCGGCCTCACTGACCACCGGCTTGCATTCCGCATCCCCCCACCCGTCTCGGACACTACAGTTCTAGGTACACTACTACGATACCTTACTACCTTCAAACCCGCCCTCGCCATCGCCACTCCATGGCACCAACCCCCCGCTAGCTGTCCCCACCGTCCCAATGACCTCCGTATCTGGGCTCACCTCACCCCAGCTCTCGGCACTCCTCATTTCCATCAATCGTTTCCACGACAACAAAGTCCGGTGGGTAGGTGATATCACCAATGTAACTCTATGCTGCTCAGCCTTTCACCCCTACGTACCAAATTTGGCTGGACCCGCGCAACACTCCAACGATTTGCCCCCATCGGGATGGCATCCCCACAGCTACTCTACACAACCCACTACCTATACTCCGGCAACAGACCCCCAACATGTCAGCCAGCTGCAGTCCACCCCTCTGCCGACACTGCTACCGTCCCGGCTCCCACACCTGGAAAAACCCTTGGTCGCACGTTCGTCACACCCTCCCGCGGCTTCGAAGCCATTCACATCCCACTCCATGCCATGCTCGTCGTCCCCCACCACCGTATCCATCGGGTCGGCACCAGCCACACTCAGCTCCCGTATTGGCAGACGTACCAGTCTACAAATGCGCCACACTCCCGATGGCCCATCAATCGCCGTCACCTTCTAGCATGAACTCCAAAGAGGCTCGGACATTTGGTACTCACCCACACCACAAGAAGCCCGTAGCCGACTTCACCTGGTCCCAATTGCGGGGTGTGCGATCCTCACTGGCGACCTCCTCCGCACAAGCACAAGCCGCATCCAACGCCACAAGTTCATCCCCTGGACAGACCCGTCATGGACACATCCACGCACGAACTCCACACACCGTGGCAACAATAACCGCGCCATTATTGCCTCAACTGCCGCTTCCATCTGAACACCCCCACACACACGCCACACCTGCCTGTTCTGCTTGCCACCGCATCGCGGACACTACTGTATGTACGGACTGCGGGCAATGGTACCATACTGCCTGTATTCCGTACTACCAGGCAGTTCTACACCCTCCCCTCCGCGCTGCCCGCACACACTTCTTCGGGGATGGCAGCGTCACAAACCAGGGCAAACCAGCACCTCACGGCATATGAAGCATCTTGGGCCGCGACGGCACACACCCTTGTAGGGTCGTTGGTGTACACCCAGACCACTTCACCCCCACACACTTCGAAATACACAGCCTCCTGGAGGGCTTGCACCACTCCGGTGATATAGCGCTCCAAATCTGCGACAACACCACGGCATATGCCTTCTTATCTTTGTTCTGCAGCGTGCAGAGCAATTGGGTCGCGCGTTAGTTTGAGCCATCGTAAACACACACACACTGTGCGTGTGGCGTGTCAAAGGTTCCGATACCTTAGTGGAGGTACTGAGTACTTTAGTGAATGGTAGTCAGTAGGCGCCTCGTGGCGTGTTTAACCTCACTAATATCAGTGTGTATATTTGCTGCCTTGACGAAGGTCCCGTGGCCGAAAGCCGAGAAGAAGCGGGAGACAAAATAAAGATAGCTCTTGTTCATTGTTGAGCTATTCACTGGAGATGGTACGAGAACATTCCTACGATGAGGAAATGCCAACGAACGCCGAAGAACGATCGCGGTCGCGTGACCGGATCGAGGAGCCGCGAGGACGCACCGCTCGGCGCACCGTTGAGAACCCGTTCAGATCTCCCCGACGACGACAGCCACCTGCTATCGACGAGTGGCAGCCGCCACGTGGTGGTTTTTACACCCCCGACACA